CGCAGATACACGATTCGTTCATCCCGAAAACCAAGCGAATGTCCTTCAGGCGGCATGGGAAAGCGAGCCGATACAGGAGCACGCACAGNTGACTTCACCTTGCAATGCCCGCACGGTGCCATCGATAGATCCCCAACAGTGAGTGGGAGGACAGCCGGAGTTGAAGATTGCTTCCGCAAACTCGATCAGGTGCGGCTGCAGGCGTGCCACGTCGAGGGACAGCAGATACCCCCACCTGAAGTCTAGAAAATGCAGCATCCAGTTGAAGGCTTCGCAGATACACGATTCGCTCAGCCCGAAAACCAAGCGCATGTCCTTCAGGCGGCATGGGAAAGCGAGCCGATACAGGAGCACGCACAGAGCCTCCCGTCCGCTTACCACGAACCCGCAGTCAGTGCGGATGAACGCGGGGATCAACAGCAGATCCAGCATCAGCATAACCTGCATCACGTGACACCACACAGGAAAGCAAAGAACGATGTGTTACTTGTTATTCCAGTGCACACCTCTCCGTTGGCTTGTGGGTCTAACATAGCACGGTGGCTTGACGCACCCAGAACGGCTAACCCCTCGCGACCCACGGGATGCTGACATACTGCTGCGGCTGTCGAACGACACACTGACACACACACTGCTGCTGCTGATAGCCGGAGTACACATGTCCAAGCCACAGCAACGATATAATATTTAGCTGCGACATGTACTCACTTGCGATTGCGTGAAACGTAGAAAGTTGACCCAGTCCTGTGGGCTGAAGAATGCTGTCACTTCCCTACGTGCGATACTCGTGGGCATGTCGTCGAGTTCCAGACGGGCCATCTCGTAGATGAAAGCGATGTTGTACACGAACCATATATCGGTGTAGACTTCGTTTTGTGCGCTCGATTCATTCGCGAATACGTAGACGGGACATGGTAGCCTCGCCCACACACTCAACAGTGGGAGCGCTGCAGAGCGCTCTGTCAAGAGACAGCTGTTCCCGCAGCAGGGCAGCAAGCAGCCACGGAAGGAGGGGAACTGCCAGGCCGCTGTCCACCCCGGCCAATCACTTTCGCCCCAGCCTGCAGACCTTAAATCGNTTTTGTGCGCTCGATTCATTCGCGAATACGTAGACGGGACATGGTAGCCTCGCCCACACACTCAACAGTGGGAGCGCTGCAGAGCGCTCTGTCAAGAGACAGCTGTTCCCGCAGCAGGGCAGCAAGCAGCCACGGAAGGAGGGGAACTGCCAGGCCGCTGTCCACCCCGGCCAATCACTTTCGCCCCAGCCTGCAGACCTTAAATCGGAAAATATTCGCCTGCAGGAAGTTTCCAGGAAACTTTCTTAACTCAAAATCTGTTTCCATACTTCAGTAAATTTGGAGCCCCAGTCCGAAACTGTGTAATACCACACAACAAATCCATCCCTATCTATAGAAATACGTCTAAGATAGATTAGCAATGAAGCCATAGCGTGAGCGAAAGGCTTCCTATATGTCTACGGTTTCCCAGACACATACAACGATAACTCCCCTGTGGGTAACAGGCTCAACAAGGCAGTTTGGTAGCCATCTTGTGTATCTATCTGTATGTTATGTTGGGAAGTTGTAGACGGAAGATTTAGGGGAACTCGGTTTGTCGGGTGTTCTATTATAGCACCCTTATGTGGTTGCGGAGCAAGCGCGTCTTGGGTTGGTTGTGGATATTTTCGTCATCAGCTTACTATTTTTTGTTTGTGATGTATGGGGACATGTGAGGCGCGGGAGAACATATTTACCTTATTGTGTAATGGCATGTCGTTAAATGTGAAAAGGGCACGGGAGAACATTATCTCATCATTGTCTCCTCACGTGGCCGCCGATAGAGGCGTGTGGTTGGGGTTTCATCACTGACATGTGGGTGTGTGTGAAATGCAGTGGGTATGGTCGCCTCTCTCGCCCGTGTGTCGGCAGAAGGCATAGATAGCTACCTTTCCCATATATTTTTAGGCAGCGCGGACCATAAGTAATGACAGAGTGTATCATTTCATGCATCTACATCATTTTTATGTTGTTGCTGTTGTTGTTGTTGTTGTTGTTGTTGTCTTCACATTAAAAACCATCCCGNCTCTCGCCCGTGTGTCGGCAGAAGGCATAGATAGCTACCTTTCCCATATATTTTTAGGCAGCGCGGACCATAAGTAATGACAGAGTGTATCATTTCATGCATCTACATCATTTTTATGTTGTTGCTGTTGTTGTTGTTGTTGTTGTTGTTGTCTTCACATTAAAAACCGTTCCGATCTCTCTCTACCCGGTACCTTCGTATGTCCGTACTGATCCAACACTCGACGTGGTCGATTCCCGTCGTCGCAGGTTGACTTACCCTAAAAAGGTACACTCAATAATATTGCCCCGAGGGGTCCGCAAGTCAATAGAAATCAACGACAGATAATATTCTGGAGTCCTCCATTCCTGCTGCGCGCTTATTATACGAGGTAACAACTGAGTGAGACTAGGGTCACCATCAGGGGCCGGAGAGAATGAGGTACACCCCCTTGGTTCAATCTTGGTGCATCACAACGCAAGCAGAGACAAGGCCATCTTGCACAGAAACGAGAGAAAAAGATAAAAAAGACAAAAAGCGAAGAAAAGTATGTGGGAAGAGAGGTTGGTTGTTCTAGCTTACAAGCAGTTTTGACGGTGTTGTGTATGGGTCATTTTGTTTTCTCTTTCCGAGTGCGTTGTACCCTTCTTTTGCTTGCTTTCCCCGTGGCGTCGTATGTGCCGGGTTTTGACACCACGGGCTCCCCATTTTTTTTTTGTGGACTAGTCCATAGATAGAGCTAATAATGTGAGAAACAACAACAACAACTACTACATACTGCATGCATGCAGTAAAACCTCTCCTCACCCCGCACCCTCGGCATGCACCCCAGCGTGGGACTGCCAGCACCGCGAGCTAGGCTGCGCTTGTCACCCCTCGCTCCCAGTGAGAACAATACCCCAGCACCATGCTCAGGCGGGTGAATCCAAAGTGGAGTCGGCAACCTTGTCTCTGATGATGCGGCAACAGCACAGCAGTTCAAGGGCACCGAAATGGGCGCGTTATTTTTTTGGAGGGAGTCGAAACATTTCGCCGCATCCTGTTCAAATCATCAAGTCTTCAAATCTGCGGTCTGCGGTCTGTTTTTGCCGAGGTGCCAACCAGGCATGCTGCCACATCTGGATACGCAGGGGGAGTACCGCGGGCCTGTAGTCATTACCAATCGAGTCCACCTATCGTACCGAATTGCATAACAACGCTTTTTTCTCTCGGGCCTTTGTCGAGTTGAGGGGGCGGGTGTTGATGTCTTGATGCCCGTTGATGCACGCACCAGACCAGCCCGGCGGAATCCCGAACGGTCCAGACGTTCCAGGATCGGTTCTCAGTGTTGTGTTCCCTACCTCTCATCATTCCCTCGCCTACACCCACCCTCTCCCACCTCTACCTGTCGGTGGCGTGTGGACCTTTCCGCGTCCAATCAGGTATAGTATGGAGAAAGCTATTGTACATGACATGTGTTGAACTAGACTAATGTGTATCGATCGGCTTAGTCTAGTGTCGATCGACATGTTTTCGTGTCTCGAAAATCGAAAGAGGGCGGGGCCTATTTTGCACGGTAGATTGCTGTGTCACAGGTTTGCAAACTTGGAAGCCGCGCAGGTCGCAGACCATACCGACCCCAAGCTGACGCGCGTTCGGAAAACTCTCATCGAGGAAATCCCAACGCCGCCATGTTCGGCACCGTCGCTCTTTTTTTCCTGCAGAGATACCGGGGTTTGAAACATGGTCCAGGGTCAGGGTAGTGTGGTATCTTACGGTAGGCGCGTTGTAATGTTTAGGGTTTTGATTGAACACTGCTGTGTCGTTCGCATGATGTGGATTGCAGCAGTGCACATACGTCTGTGCAACCCTCAATCTATGAGGCCTTCCGCGACAACTGTACGATAGGCGCGTAGTTTTCTTTGTGGATTGAACCCTGCTGCTGTGTCGTTCGCATGATGTGGAGTACATACAGCAGTGCACATCGCCCCGGTGGTCTCGACTAGTGGGTAGCCTCGTAGCCTGCTAAGGGCCAGGTCATGGGTTTGAGTCCCGACAGAGTGAGATTTTCTCGCTTATTAAATCCTGGTCTCCGTTGGAAGCGACGCGCTGCAAAGCTCGTTGTTAGTAAACTTGATCGACTTCATAAGTCGCGAGGGAAGGGATTGCTGTACCCTTCTCGCGAAAAATATATCTCAGGGAGGAACCGCAGGAAGGGTCCCACCCCTCCCTCATATGTGACCCCGGTTGGGTCGTCTAGCTGGTAAAAGTGGAGGATAGGGGCCAGAGGGGCAGACACAGCATCCAATGATGGGAGAAACACAAACATACTGCGAACCGAACCGAACCGCAGGAGGGGGTCCAACCTCCCCCTGATATGTGACCCCGGTTGGGTCGTCTAGCTGGTAAAAGTGGAGGATAGGGGCCAGAGGGGCAGACACAGCATCCAATGATGGGAGAAACACAAACATACTGCGAACCGAACCGAACCGCAGGAGGGGGTCCAACCTCCCCCTGATATGTGACCCCGGTTGGGTCGTCTAGCTGGTAAAAGTGGAGGATAGGGGCCAGAGGGGCAGACACAGCATCCAATGATGGGAGAAACACAAACATACTGCGAACCGAACCGAACCGCAGGAGGGGGTCCAACCTCCCCCTGATATGTGACCCCGGTTGGGTCGTCTAGCTGGTAGAAGTGGAGGATAGGGGCCAGAGGGGCAGACGACAGAGTCCAACGATGGAAAAAAAAAAAACTCCGGTGCAACCCTCAATCCTAGAATGCAGCACGAGTCATGCCAATACCTTGCCGCTGTACCATGCACGTGCATCTTAGAAAGAAGGCCTGTCGTCGGGTGGGTCCGCTGCATCACCGCTCTGCTATGCACCACTCTGTGGTAGCTCAGAGCTCCTCCTTATAACACGCCGTTCGTGATTGACAGGGAAGGTCTAGGAAGACCATGTCGGGCAATACGGGGACCATGGCGTCGGACGTACTGGCGTTTTTGACGGAAGCAAGCGATGGGCTGCCACTTATTGAGCCGGTTTTAAAGACGCTCAAGGCCGTGCGCGAGAAGGTGGCGACGTTGAAAAACAATCGCGAAGAACTGGCAGCGCTATACCAAAGATGCACGTACATCACGGGGTGCGTCATCGTGAGGTGCAGGAAGGGCTCCTCCGGACTGAAGGCGACGCCTCTCATGGAATGTGTGAACGCGGTTGGGGCGTTTGTCGAGCGTTGTAGTCGGCGAGGTATGCTTTCAAGGGTATTGAAGGCCACGGACGACAAGGAAGAAATCGCGGGATTAAAACAGCGCCTAGAAGATCTGGAGGGCGACTTAAGGCTGGCGGGCATTGCCACTGTTGGGGGCAAGGTCGAGGACTTGAAAGCGTTGTTGGTGAGTGATGATGGAGAGTTGGGTTTCTTCACAACACCATGAACTGCTTGAAATGATGTCTCTGCTCCAACCGTGTGAACTAATCGCCATGCATTAGCACTGCGGCGCTGTCCTCGCCACCAAGCCACAGTCGAAATCCCGAAGGTCGTGGAGGGCTGCAAAAAGCATGGTACTCTTCTTGGGCCTTTGAGCCTGTATTTCTTACGTCACACATTCCTAGGTGTGTCGTGTCGAGACTACCCTTTAGCTTGTGAATTGGTCTGCTGCATGAACAAACACGGCAATACGAAAGTAAAAGGAGTACGGCTATGAATGCGCAGAACAACGAGGGCAGACGCTGCGAACCCGTGTTGAAGGCAGGCCGCGCAAGAGGACATGGTGGAGAAGATGGAAAACAAACTGAGGTTACTTTCTGCTGTGTGACCTCGGCTGACGCGTCAAGCATACACCCCAAGCGGTAGGGTGGCGCACAGAATAGATTGGACTCGTACCACGGCCAAAATAGGGGTTTTCAGCAAAGCACTTCGTATTCAGTTCAGAATGCGAACGGACGGCAATTCGAGTACGCACCGCTGAACCTCCTCTGAGCCCACCTTCGACTAGCGAAACACATCCTGACACGGAGTAAGGGTCGGTTGTGCCGAATTGAGCACACGTGGAGGAAACTATTCGTAAGTGTACGTTCCCAAAGTCAGAGATATTACCTCAGTCAACAGAAGAAAAAACATGTCTTTGAGTATCGTTAACACGCTGCTGTACGTCGGCGCGCACAACTTGGCACAACAGAAGCCAAGTTACGGTCATATATAACAATGTACATGCAACACTTGTTCGCCTGGGGCTCAATGCTCCTCAACGGGACCCATCCCTTCCGTACTTGTGAATGACTGACACAACTCCGTTTGCGGCCGAAGCGCCCTGTGTTGCTGATTCCCTATCCCTGGGTTCGCTTCTCATCTGCAAGCTTTCTCTTTCTCATCAATAAAACGGTGCATCGCGTGTGTTGAGAAACGACGCCTTCCCTTGGGTGTTGTCGAACTTCCTTGCTTCCTTGTTCCTCACGGTGCTGTTGCTGCTGGCTGTTCTCGTCACTGTGTGGCTGCGTTCCAGGAGCACGTGGACACTAAACAGGCGTTATCACATAGTCAAACACTGGCGAATCACGACATCATGTTCGCCCGTGTGGGCATTTCTCCGGAGACACTGGCCACGGTTCCGGCGGGCACACCGGCACGCAAGAGCTGGCACGTTGAGCGCCGCCATGTGATGAGAGCGGTTTGTGACGCACTCCCCGGCGAAGGGGGGCCGCGCTTGGTGGGGCTGGTCGGCGACAGCGGGTCGGGCAAGACCACGGCTGCTGCCGAGATCGTCAGGAGTACCGAGGTGCGGGAGGCTTTCTCCGACGGCATCGTGTGGCTGTCGGTAAACGACGGCGCAACCGAGCGCCTCCGGGCATTGATGATGCACCTGGCCCGCGTGGTGTTCGAGGACATCGGGGGCAGCGTGGGCCGTCGCCCAGCGGGATTGGACGATGGTGCGGCATACACCAGGCAGCGGATGCAGAGTGGGCACGGCGGGAAAGGGCTGAAGTGCCTCGTGGTAGCGGACAACGTATGGGAGGAGGCGGTAATCTCAAAGCTGCTGGAGACTGGAATGTGGGTTCTCCTGTCGACCCGCGATGAAGCGCTGGTGAGAAGCGCAGAGGGAGGGGTCGTAGTCGGAGTTGATGAACTGTCCGAGGAAGATGCGATGTCGGTGCTGAGGAGAGCGTCAGAGCTCTCGCCTGAGCTGCGCTTGCCCGACGAGGCCGTGGAACTGGTTGAGCTGTGCGGGCGCGTTGCGATGGATGTGGCGTTTGTGGGGCGATGGAGCACGGTTCGGGGCAGGTCAGACAGGACCGCTTGGTCGGATGCCGCTCACAAGGTTCGATCAAAGATAGAGCGATCGCGGGTTAGCGACAACGTGTGGGATATCCGTGCAGTACGCCGGAAGGCCGTTCTCCAGGCCGGGTTTGAGGATCTTGCCATCGGATCAGACGACGAGCGAATTCCTCGGCTATATCTTTCGCTCGCCGTGTTGCCGGATGGACATGCCTTCACGGCGAAGGATGCCACGGCCCTGCTTTACGACCGGGCGCCTTGTCCGGAAGACGAGGTATCGACAGAAGAGCTGATTAGGACCCTGGAACGCTGGTCTGCGCTGCGCACGGAAGGAGGGGCATACCGTATGCACGATGCCCACTCCGGGTTCGCCAGAGATTGTGTCATGGACCGCGGCTACGTGCGAAAGCCTGCCGTGAAGAGATGGACTCTTAGATTATCTTCCCTGGATGTCCTCCGGTCATTTGACGATCCGTTCGTACTTAAAGGTCTATGGCTAGCTGTGGGGCGCTTAGGCGGAGAGAGTTGGAGAAACGTCCGGCCCTACGCGGCCGCGCTTAGCGAGATGGACGAGTCAAATCCTTTGCTCCTCAAGTCCTTGCAGAGTTTGGGATGGTTCCAAGATGCACAGGGAGATTGGCAGTCAGCGAGCGACACGTGCCGCCGAATCCTAGCGGTTAAGCGGAGGCAGTTGGGGGCTGATCACCCCCATACCATCCTGACTTTGCGAGCGCTGGTATATTGCGCCGAGAGGCTGGGAAATGCCGAGGAAATGACGGAATGGCAGGCAGAGCTGCGCAGGGTGCTTCCGTTAGCAGTGGTGAGGATGCAACTGCGGCTTGATGCCGGTGAGGTGGATGGGGTCGATGATGCCAACGCCCTCAATTCCATCGCTTCGACCATGCTGAACTTGGCGCCTGATGATAGAGGGAACGCGGAAGCTCTTATGAGGCACTCCCTGGAGATCCAGGAGGTCAAGCTGGGCCGCGACGACGTGTACGTCGCCTACAACCTGCACCACCTGGGGGTAAGCGTTCATCTGGCGGGGCGACTGGACGAGGCAGAGGGGTTGTTCCGGCGCTCTCTAGAGATCCAGGAGGCCAAGTTAGACCGAGACGACGTATGGCTAGCCTACACGCAACACTACTTGGGAAAATGCGTCCGACAGGCCGGGCGGCTGGATGAGGCGGAGGAGCTATTAACGCGCTGCTTGGGAATCCAGGAGGCCAAGCTGGGACCAGACGATGTGGAGGTAGCCAACACGTTGATTCAGCTTGGCCTATGCCTTCGAGAGGCAGGGCGGCTGCAGGAGGCAGAGGGGTTGTTGAGGCGGTCCTTGACAACGTTAGAAAACAAGTTTGGTCCAGAGGATGAAAGAGTAGCCTCCGCGTTAAACGAGCTAAGGTTCTGCGTTCGTCAGACTACGATTCATTTGAGCCACCAGGTGTAGTCATCGAGCCGTGCTGGAAGCACAGGATTTCAGCATCATTGTGTTGGCGAGTGCCCGCTCGTCTTCGTTCTATCCGTCGCACGGTTGCACGAAATATTAATCCCCAAATAACAAGCGACTGGGTGGCTTCTTGACGCCCGTCTGGGTTCTGTACAATTCACATTTGTCGTTGTACTAAGGCACGATATCCGATCTTGAGATCATATGTGAGGGGGGAGTGAATGCAGTTGGGAGTCACAGTGCACCACCCCCGAAAGAGCACACATGTGCCTACCGTCTGTACTTTCATGTCGGAGAAGGATCATGTTGAGCAAGGTCCTGGGTTATCAAAGTCCCTATACTCCACCCCACTCTGCGAGAAGGCGCAGAGTTGCACAGACACAGGTTGCCTCCAGGTGGAGGAGATTCGTGAGACTCATTTGAAAGGGTTAGCACACGTTGACTTGTCACGGTACAGGACCACCTATCGTACCCGTCTCGTACCTGTTCAAAAAAAAGAAAGAATCGCCTCTGTTCAACATATATTCGCGTTGCTTGTGTCTCAGGGTCTCTCGCATTTTGAAGAGGCGAGTCTCGCCCTTAGTTTTCTTCGTATTTCACTTTTCAAAGGCATGCATGTTTTCAAGCTGCTGCCTGTCACCTTTATTTTTCGGTTTTCCGAAAGGGGGGTAGTCACTCAAAGTCGACGCTCCAGGGACGTCGTGGCGACGTTGCTATCCAGCTTTCACCCCACAATGTCCAGACGTAACCTGGCCGAGAAGGATTGCAAGAGCTGATCATCTTTCCCAATGGACCCGTCGTTATTGTACGAACACTTTGCGCGTGTACCACGAGAATTCCACAGTAGCAGGACTCAAGGTCTTGCCTAGATGACGCCATCAATAGAACAAAGGGCAAAACCTGTATTGCACAGAATTGATATCCATTGACGTCTGAGTGCACCTACTATCAGTGAAGCGATTCTTCTTCCCCTTGCCCTCCTCTTTCCTTACGATGCCCAGCTCGTACAGCCTGGCCCAGAAAACCTGACTTGGTCGTGGCTGAGGAAGTAAGCCCCGTTTCGGATCGATCCCCCCCCCCCGCGCCAGTATTGTTATGTTAATGTTTACCGGCACAACAAACCGAGAGACTCGATCGCGAAAGGAAACCTGACTCCAGGCAAACCGCGGTCTCGAGAACGAGCGTTGACTTCAATCGAAAACATTCCCCTCTCGAGAGGACCCACGTCGACGCATTGCCATCGCAACAAGTGCCTGCACTCGCACAAACTGGTCATAATTTCTTTGTACGAGGTGACTTGGTTCGCATTTTTGGAAAAATACATGAATGTTGAAACAAGCAAATGGAGTGTTGCCACTGGGGTCGGTCTCCGGCACCACACTCAAAGTGGTAGCTTCGCAGTTCCCTGTGCTCTACGGCAGTGTCGTCGAGACCTCACAAACAAGAGAGAGGCTTCGAGCTTTCGTAAAGATAATATTCTAATAATGCGTATCTAAATGAGCGGGCCGGACTGCGGTGTATGTGTATTCTACCATACATTGTATATGATCATGCATGCAACGCAGCAGCCAATACATGAGGCAAACTCAAACCTGTTAAACGATAATCCGTGGCCTTTGGACACCACACTCTCTCTTGCTTCCAAGAAGCACACAAAGCACGAACAGGACCAATGCCAACTGCTGTGCGCCGTCAACGTACTTTCGTACCGTGCCGTCTGGTACGCATTTTGCAACGTGTGGTACAAGACGTGTTGCGTGTCAGGGGCCTTGTGTATTCTCTACACCCTTCTTCCTCTGTCTGCCTGCCTGGTTGCCTGGTTGCCTGGTTGCCTGGTTGCCTGGTTGCCTGGTTGCCTGGTTGCCTGGTTGCCTGGTTGCCTGTCTGTGGCTGTCCGTCTTTCTGCGTTTTACGGCATCATCTTACCCCGCGCTTGAACCGGTTGCCGATCTTTCTCGTGCAGCAAAGAGAGTGTCAGGATCTTTTAGGTCATGTTGTGCGACTCATGTAAATGCTATCAAGCTCGAAGACCGAAGGGATCAGAAGTTGAAACACTCGTAGGAGACAGTCAAACCGCCGGATGCGAGATGGCTTCGAGCGCTCGAGCACCCTCGGTGCAACCTTGAGGGCAGGGCCTCCACCTCCATTCAAGGACGAAAAAAAAATACTTCGTATCTTGCCGAACGGTCCTATCATTGCCGAACGTTCCAGGATCGGTTCTCGGGTCTTCACGGTCTCATCATGGCGGACGTATTGCCCTCACCACTCGCCACTCCTTCTCTTCCTGTGTATTGCGTTGTCTGTGGATTTTTTCGCGACCAAAAAGGTGAGGGTAGGAAACCTACGCGAAAAGCACACGCACATCTCCTCATAAGCTGCTGCGAGCTGCGAGCTGGGAAGTTCATGAAAATTTCAAACTACGATGCGGTGCAATCAGCAATACCGAGAGACCGCGCGGAGGTCGAGCGGCGTGCAATGGAGAGCGGACCGGAACCTCCCTCGCGGACCCCGGTGATCTACCGAGGGTACTCCAAGTCTAGCGAGAGGAGGGAAGAAACATCCCATCACTTTCCTTTTCTTTCCACGTGCATTTTCTAGCATTACACACGCCGGTTGTTTGACTGTTTGGTTGTTGTTGTTGTCTTCACAGCGCAATTAATTGTTCGACTTGCCGATCTGTACACATGGCGCCGACGTGGTCGCCACAACAACCACGAGAGTAGGCCAGCGTCGTGTTTGAGAGCGGGCCGGAGCCTCCCTCGCGGACCATCTACCGAGGGTACTCAATATCTTACTAGAGGAGCGAAGGAGGATCCCGTTATTTCCTATTCTATCTACGTGAACTTGTGTGTAGCAATCCATAGGCACACGCCGGTTTGGCTGCTGTGGAGAACAATTTTTTAGACTTCCCGCCCGATCTGCACACACGTCCCCGCCCGTGGTCACCACAAAATCCGCTACAGCAGGAGGCCCATCGACCCATGGACGATGGCTACAAAATGCGCTCGGGAGGTTGGCTCGGCTGTGGTGGATGCGGTGTCGTTTGTGGCTGAATTGGGCGAGGGGCTTCCGCTGTTCCAACCTGTTCTGAAGACGCTCACGGCGATCCGAGAGAAAGTCAAGACGGTGATAAGCAATCGCGAGGATCTGGCAGCCCTGGGCGAAAGATGCGTGTACATCACAGCTTGTGTTATCGTAAAGTTCAGGAAGGGGTCCTCAGAGCTCGACGTTGCACCTCTTGAGGACTGCATCCGCGCGGCTGGGGTGCTTGTCGAGCACTGTGGTCGGCGGGGCAAGTTGCTCAGGGTGCTAAAGGCCTCCAGCGATAGAGGCGAGATCGCTGCACTGAACACGCGCATTCGAGCTCTGGAAAGCGACATGGGCCTGGCCGGTATCACGGTCGTGGGGAGAAAGATCGACGACTTGAAGACCATCGTGGTGAGTTGTATTTTGGACCCGATGGCTGAATACTCAGTTGCATCTAGGAGGCGAGCTCTGTTGGTAAACTCGTGGCTTCTGGGGAAAAGATGTTGTATTAATGAGACCTTGGACCAGGAGAACAGGTCAAAAGGTAGAGTGAGCAAGGGTGGGGCGAGCACCACAGCACCACAGCACCACCCGTCACCGGGGGAGCTGCGCTACTAGGGGAATTTATCGCGGGCGAAGAGGGCACAGAGGGGGGTTGACCTACACTGCCTGCATCAATACTGCCAACCTCATCGATTGCTCCACCAGAGACCGCTACATTACGTCGCAAAAGAATGTGGGGAACTCCTCTCCCTAAAAGCGGCCATACCTCAGCTTCTACATCGTCATCACATTCCTCCCCTCCCTCCTCTGCTACCTCGATCGGCAAGAGAGACAGTTGCGGTGGAGGGAGTTGTGACGGCAACGCTTCCCATGTCACATTCCTCGTTTCCTGAATAGTTCCAACCCTCGTAAGTACTCTATGACAGTCACGCGGGTGGTCTCTCGAAGGACCGACATAAAAGCAAGCCTCACCCTTCGGTAGCAGTTTAGACGGACGCTGCCACCTACAGTACGCCGGTTTCAAAAACGGATACGGTCTAGCATGACTAGCTTCACCATGCCACATCTCATATGGCGACTTACTGTCAGGGTTAGCGGAACAAGCTGTGTGGTTAATTGCTTCGCAAGCCCAATGCATCGCCTCAGCCCATAGTCTGTCAGTCTTAGGTAATTGCACATGCCCAAACAAAACTTTTGCCTGAATACGAGCAGCCATTGCCGCCGCCTCAATCAATCCCAATCCACGCTCTGCAACACCGTTGTATTGGGGACTGTAAGCCGGGGTGAACTCTTGCTTAATCAAGAGCTCGTTGCACACGGACGCAAATTCTCCTCCGAAAAACTCCCCCCCATTGTCAGATCTAACAATCTCAACCAATGACGGGATACCATCAGCACGCACACTTGCAAGGAAACTCCGGAAAGCACTCGCAGCGTCTGATTTACTTTTCAGGAAATACATCCATGTACGTCTAGTGAAATCATCCTTCACTATCATGGGGTAATGTTTACCCCCTACGGACGCAACGTCCTTCCGCCCTCCCAGGTCAACAAAAACTCTGCCCAACTTTTTGTCTGATCTGCATTTTGTTTCATGAGCAATCCCTTTCTTGAATGCCTTCGACATCGAACATCCCGTACAAGCATGCATTTTACCGGTCAACTCGATACCTAGTCGCTTTGCAGTTGTACGGAGCAATCCTTCATGCGAATGAGCATAAATGTTATGAAACTCGTTCACATCCATCTTAGATTCATGCTTGGGGTTTGAAGGAGTGAGGGCAGCCAACACTGAACCAACACAGTTATTTTCTAGACGATACGCAGGCGAAATGAGCATACCATCGAGATTCTGAAAAGTAACATGTCCATTGAAAGCAGTCATCACACCATCAGGACCGCCAAGGTAGTTCCATGACTCACCATCGAACTCTGCGCTTGGAGAAAAGAGGTTGTATCCCAAGTTGGGAGAGTACAATACATTTTCCAACTCTACGGGAAACTGGCTGTCAGCAGTTACAAATACCAACTCCAGAGTTCCAGAGAATTCTATCTCACAAGTCACGCCACCAATCCCTTTTACGTTTTTGTGGCAAGGCTTCAAATCCTTCATGCAAGAGAGACGATCAGTCATGTGAAAAGCAGTTCCAGTGTCCGCATACCAATCTTCGACATGATTTTTCTCCCACTCAAGGTACTCGCGAAACGTATCCTCGAACGCTCCCGGGGCCAGTTTTCTCATTTTGCGGAATGTCCGTTTGGAGGATTTGGCTTTTGGCAAGGTTTGTGACAATTCAGACAACTCAAAGTCGAGCCTCTCACCGGTCTCATCGTCCTCGTTCTCAGATTTCCCAGTCTGGGAGGGATGAGCTATCACACGAGCCAGGCAGTCCTTCTTGATGTGACCTTTCTCCCCACACTTGTAACACGTTCCCTGAAACTTCTTCTTTGAGGAATCAGATTCAGGGTGAGACTTCGACTTTGCGTGGTTCGGCTTCCGGCTACTCTTCCTCTCTGCCCTAGACACAAGAGCTACACTGTGCTTCTTCGTACCAGTCTGTGTCTGCAAGTCTAAGTAACGCTCACGTACTTTGGTCTCGATGAAAGCAGGATCGTTCGGGCAAAACACTACAAGAGTCTCACGCAAAGTCTTGTATTCGTGGGATAGTCCCTCTAGCATCAGTGTGCACACCTCCCTGTCCTCCTTCTTGACTTCCAGCATCTGCAAAATACCAAGCGTCTCTCTCATAGATGCAAAGAAGGTGGATGGGTTCTCGTTTGTACGCATGCGCAATGACTTCAGTTTGTTCTCCTGCACACGAATCTGACTCTGGCTCAAAGGGAGAAAGTGATCCTTCAACACCTGGAATGCCTTGCTGGGGGAACCTGCATGCCTAGCCATGGTTTTCAGCGAGTCTTTCTTCAAACAGTCGAACAAAAACCACCATCCCATCTCTGCCTGCCGTAGCACTCCCACACTGTATCCTTTGTCTACCCAGGGGGTCAAGTCGAATTCAATGCTTGCGATCGGAATTTCTACTTCAGAAGTAAATGCTTCTAACAAGTTGTTGTGTCGGGCACTCAGCAGAAAGTTTTGTGACCATGACGGGTACGCAACGTCCGATCCGTCGAACACAGGAGCTTTGGGAACTTTCAAAGGGCTCCTACCCAAGTTTTCTCCTGGTTCAGTAATGCCAGCCCCAGGAATCAATGTGGTTCCACTGGCGACATTTTCCCACCACCTACTCGAAGCGGTAGGTGCGGGTGGAATAGAAGACTGGCTACTGAAAGCCCCACTACCCATTCCTGGAATGAAAGACTGGCTACCTAAAGCCCTACTTCCCATCCCAACCGAACCAAAGCTTGTGACACCAGCAGAAGAACGGTTAACAGCAGTATCATGCGAGTTCAAGCCTGTGTTTGCAACACTACTTCCAACTCCCACGCTGGACATGCCAAGGCCTTGGGCACTACTGTCCGTACCTCCCGCAGTCCTGCCAGTGACATCCGATTGATGCACACCAGCATACTCTGTTCCGCCGCTTCCCGGCGCAGCAGCAAATGAAACAGAGGACTCTACCTGATCACCTCGTTGCCCAACAAGCGACTTGATTACGCTCGTGAGCTGGGACAACTGTGTCTCAATCGAATCCAGTCTCTCACCACCAATAACACCCTGCGAATCACCCGGAGGTGGGTCATCCTCATGATCCCCAGCAAGCCCACTCATCACGAAGCAAGGTGATCAATCTTCCTCCGTTCAGTCTTGACGTACAGTCCGAGGGGACAAGCAGCAGTCGACCGATGTAGCTATAGCGTGTTGGTAAACTCGTGGCTTCTGGGGAAAAGATGTTGTATTAATGAGACCTTGGACCAGGAGAACAGGTCAAAAGGTAGAGTGAGCAAGGGTGGGGCGAGCACCACAGCACCACAGCACCACCCGTCGCTCGACCAACGCACGAAAGCAGAACACAATACCGGAACACAATAATATCGGAACACAACGACTCAACAGGGGCTACCGTACTTATCAACGTACCATAAATCATCGGGGTGATGCACTATCCACGAAGAACATTCCTACAGAACGTTCCTCGCTGTTCTGATAATATGTGGCTACTCGGCAGTCTGCAACGCCGACAGTCCCGCAATTCAAAACTGTCCAATCAAATTGTGCTACGTTACTCTGTCGACACACACAGCAGCAACTTATCACGAACAAGCTCGAGCATTTTTCTCCCGGTGCAGATCTTGATTGTGTGCCCCCAACGTCGAAGATGCTGGTTCGCTTGTGCGTGCATAACAAAATAATCCCAGCAGTAACTGACCTGTTTTTCCTCCACTCACTGCTGCAAAGACTTAAACTCATCCCCTTCGACTGTGATTATGTCGTGAACGGGTAGCATTATCTCGAATAAATCAGCTCAATACGTCCAACGTCGTACGTTGTGTGGGGTATGTATTCCGGCTGTAGCTTCTGCCCGTCCACCCAGCTGTAGGTATCTTGATGCTTTGCGAGGTTCCATGGCTGTGGCTGAGTCCTTGCTTGCTTCACCAGCACATGTTCAGTATGCGCCCCGCACGTACCGAAGTCAAAAAACCTTATCTGGCGGCGAACGCGGTCTTTGTGAACCTACACCGCTTCCGCAATATTAATATTTCAGGGGAAGATGGCGAACAAGCAAGCAGCAAGCCAAGAACGAATACTGGAAAACCAAAGCAAGATACTTGATCATATGGACCAGCTATCGAAGACTCAGGCCAAGCTCACCAAGGTTCCAAAGGGCACACCCGCACGCAAGAGCTGGTACGTCAAGCGCCGCCACGTGATGGACACAGTCTTCGAGGGACTCGCTAGCGATGGAGGGCCGCGTTTGGTGGGGCTTGTCGGCGGCAGCGGGTCGGGTAAGACCACGGTAGCCTCCGAAAGTGTCAGGAGTACTGAGGTGCAGGAGGCATTCTCCGACGGTATCGCCTGGCTGTCGGTCAACGACGGTGCAAAGGAACGCCTTTCGTCCCTCATGTTGCAGCTGGCTCGCGTGGTCTACGAAGATATCGGGTGCAGTGTGGGCCGTCGCCCAACGTCGTCGGATGACTGTGCGGCGTACATCAGGCAGCGCATGAAGAAAGGCACTGGGGGAAAAAAACTGAAGTGCCTCGTAGTGGCGGACAACGTGTGGGAGAAGGAAGTGGTTTCGAAGCTGTTGGAGACGGGGATGTGGGTGCTCCTGTCAACACGAAATATAACGCTGGTGACGGAAGCACATGGCGAGGTTGTGGGGGTTGACGAGCTTTCCGAGGCAGATGCCATGTCGGTGTTGAGGAGAGCTGCGGAGCTACCCCCTCAGGGAAAAATTCCCGGCGATGCCGTTGATCTGATCGAGCTGTGCGGCCGTGTGGCGATGGACCTGGCATTCGTCGGGCGATGGAGCACCGTTCGAGGTAGGCAGGATCGCATGGCTTGGTCAGATGCGGTTAGCAAGGTCCGAGAAGAGATGGGCAAGGTCGGGAGTGGCGATGCTAGCGAAAAGTTGGCAGAGACTCGCGATGCACGGCGGAAGGCCATTCTCAGGGCCGGGTTCGAAGATCTTGCCATTGGGTCCGACGATGAGCGAGTGCAGCGGTTGTACCTATCACTTGCCGTTTTTCCGGATGGTCATGCTTTCACCGTGAGGGACGCCGCGGTCTTGCTTTACGACAGGGAGCCTTGTGCTGAGGACGAGGCATCAGTGGCAGTGGTTGTTGACACTCTGGAGCGCTGGACCGTACTCCGCTCGGAGCAAGGGGCCTATCGCATGCACGACGCCCACTCGATCTTTGCAAGGGAAACCCTCATGGACCATGGTTATGTTCGGCGGCCTGCCGTGAAGAGATGGGTGTCATCCATATCGTGTCTGGAAGTCCTCAGGTCTAGTGACCCCTACGTCCTGAAAGGTCTCTGGCTGGCGGTAGAGGGAGTCGGCGGAGATGGGTGGCTTAAAAGCCGAGCATACTCCGCGGCGCTAGTCGGGATGGACCGACTACACTCCGCGCTTGCCCGTCAGAACATCATTGCCCTGGCGCGGCTTCAAGAGGCGCACGAAGACTGGGAGGGAGCAAGCACTACCTGGCGTCGACTGCTCGAAATCGAGAAGAAGCAGCTGGGGGCGGACCACTACCACGTCTTGAAATCTTACCGAAGCCTAGCTAGTTGCGCAGAGCAGCTGGGACAAGTTGGAGAGGCGGCGGACTGGCGTGGCAAAGAGGTCGAAGCATTGCCACTGGCTCTTGCTAGGGTGCAATCACAAACTGATAGCGGTAAGGTGGAGGGACTCGACGGTGCGAATGGTCTAGCATCTGTCGCTTCTACCATGCTGAAGTTCAAGCCGGGCTCTATCGACAGAGCCCAAGCAGAAGTGTTACTGAGACGGTCTCTGGAAATACAGGAGGCTGCGCTAGGCCACGAAGACATCGCTGTGGCCGACACGCTTTACCAGCTGGGAATATGCCTTCGAGAGGCAGGGCGGCTGGAAGAAGCAGAAGAGCTGCTGAGGCGCAGCTTAGCTATCAAGGAAGCTAGGCTGGGCAGAGAGGATGTGCGCGTGGCTACAACGCTCCATAGTCTAGGCATGTGCCTTCGTATGGCAGATCAGCTAGCGGGCGCCGAGGCGATATTGAGGCGTGGTCTGACGATCAAGGAGGCGAAGTTGGGGCGAAGCGATTTTGAGGTGGCCCGCACGCTGTATGAGCTGGGCGTGTGCGTTCGATTGGAGGCCGGACGGCTTGACGAGGCCGACAAGGTGCTGAAGCGTTGCCTGGATATCGTGAAAGGAAAACTAGGCCACGACAGCGAGGAGCCCCCGTGCACACCGTACACCCTCGTCCCATGCCCTCGTGAAGCCAACCAGCTGGGTCACGCGGAGCAGAAATTAAGACGCTGTCTGGCGACCGAGGAGGCCCAGCTAAGCCGAGAGGATGTCGGGGTGGCCAGAACACTTTACAACCTCGGGACATGCCTCCGCACTGCAGGTCGGCTCGGGGAAGGGGAGGAGGTCCTGAGGTGCTGTGTGGAGATCAAGGCAGAGAAGTTAGGCCCCGATCATGTGCATGTGGCGTATACACTCCACGAGCTGGCGTCATGCCTTCGGGGGGCAGGGCGACAACAGGAAGCAGAGGATTTGCTGATACGATGTTTGGATATCATGGAAGCGGCGCTGGGTCGACAGGATTTAAGGGTGTCCAATGCGCTGTACGAACTAGGTGTATGGGTTCGACAGGCAGGACGACTGGGCGAGGCAGAGCAGCTGCTAAGACGCTGTCTCACAATCGAGGAGGCCAAGCTAGGCCAACAGGATACGCAGATGATGTCTAACACCCTGTACAGCCTAGGTGTGTGCCTTGAGCAGGCAGGTCGGCGAGCGGAGGCGGAGGAGGTGTTTAGACGCTCCTTAGCCATTGAGGATGCTCATGACAGTGTGGCGGTGACCCAACGTGGCAATCTATAGTCTTGTGTACGCAAGAGACCGAAAATAGGCAGCGTGCAGTTGTATTTGGTGAATTGTTGTAGAGGAACCGAGGGTTGCCCCTCGCTACTTTTCATGTACACATAGGCTGTCTATGGTGGAGCTACTTCTCACGTAGATGGTGGCTCGGGGTAGGGCATTCATGAAACCCCTCTTTGTGTCAATAGCTTTCCTTTGCGTAGTAACGTGAGTTGTCGTACTCTATATATATCAGGGTTGGCATTTTGCTTTTGTTTCAGATTTCGTCGAAAGATCCACTTTGAAGACACGCATGCAGCGGAGGAGAGCAGGAGGGAGAAGCGAGACATATCAGTGCCCGGTTGAATGTGATGAAGTTGGCAGAATGCCCTCCATATGTCCACCGTGAATGATGCTTATCGCTACAAACCTCCTTGTTTCCATTTCACCCCCGTCCCCAATGTGAGGATATTCTATTGTTTTTTTGGTCAAGGTAAAGATGTTCTGATTTGCATGCATATCGGACACACGCGTCCCTTGATGCATCTGCGTACGGCGGGGGCGAGCTTGGTCAGCGAGAACTTGGCATGGAATTGCCCCGCATAGTCGGGGTTGGGAATTGTATTTGTCGTGGGTTGCTTGCTGGTGGGAGTGGCGCATGTGGGTATCAACGGTGTCGTGATCTTACCCCCGTCCGAGGGATGTTGTACAGATATAGATTTGCCGGGTAGGCCCACGGCTGCTTCCCGAATTGAATTGATTTATTATGTGTCGGTAAGATGGCGTGACGAACGGAATTTAGAATGGAGTTAAACGAATGCATGCTGCAATGCTCACTATCTCCAGGTAGTACACCGCCACGAGGCAACGGCTAGGGATTTGGTGAGAAAGATACAGTGCTTCTGTCGCAGCTGTATTTGTTTCTTGAACGCACGCACTCACCCACGATTTCGAAGAAACTGAGCAGAGCCTGGGCCAACAACAAGAAATTTCTCTCTTGTTATGTGGGTTGTTGAAACGTGGGTACCCAGTAGACGATCCCGGCCAAGTATGGGTGCGAACGATTTCGACTTGTTGGAATGGGGCTTGAACTTGAACTTGAACTTGAACACGTTTCGTTCTCGTTTTCGCCAAAGACTCGCTGTTTTCACCTCCTCATTTTGCCCATCGTTTTTATACTTGGAGTATTTGTTTTTGCCTTCTGGTGGTTCCCCTTGAGATGGGTGCAATCAGTCGCCATCGGCTGTAGGTTCCGTGCTGCTCTAATTCGTGTCTCATGCTAGGCTGCGGTGTTGGCGAGGTCAACATTTCAGTCAACTTCTGACGAAACTATTCACATAGTACCATGCATACGCAAGCAAGCACGCCTTTTAGGCACGACACCCCCACAGCTTGACTATTATAGTATCACTACACTTCAACCCGAACACGCGCAAAGAGGCGCAACAATCATACGGTGGCGGCGTGTCGCACGTTGAGCCTGGTGATTGGCGAGGGAGAAAATGGAGTGACCCGCTTTGACGACGTGAGTTGTTGCCTCCTCGCAACGATCTCGCCGACTTCAACGGTGTCCGTCCTCTCTCGGTGCTTGTTTCTGCTCTTAGTCCATCTGGGGAATGGGCGTCAGAGGGGAAAATGTTGGTAGCGGGGGAGTGGAGTCTGCGAAATGTCCGCGTGCAAAGGACCTCAAACCCGACTGGAGGTTGCCCTGATGTACATCGACTGAGATCTGGCGTCAGAGTTTTCGCGGGTGTTGATACACAACAAGGTAAAACACGGGAAGGTCGACAAACTCCATATTGTAGGTAGCGCTATTATTGTAGCTGTGCAACTGCTGTGTTCACATCTTACGCTCTACCCTGCAGGGGGTACCTTCCTGACAGACGCACCATCGCGTTGCCATATGGAGTTTGTATTAACAGCTTTTCGCACACACGCCCTGTTCACATGTTGAACACGACACAATCGCGTATCGAATGCCCCAAACCCACAAGGGAGTTAACGTCATGTGAAACCGCTGTTCTTCGGATTTGTTGTTGCACACACTGAAATTCGCCGCCCTGCATCTCCGTTAGTGGGGCGCAGGTCCGTTTCGCGCTCACCTTGAAGTAGCGTGAAGGCGGACGCGAATCTCTGGCTGAATGCCCTCAATGAATACACGCCTAAGCTGGTCCAACTGTTCTGATCCCTTGGTCGCATAACCCCTCTCTTTCAATGCCTCCACGAGCTGTTTGGTGTCCATAGATTTGGCAATGCGTCCGGCCCGTTTCTCCGCCAGAACGAAACGTTTTCGTTCTCGGAGATTGCTTTTCACCTGTCGACTGCAAAAGGAGATGCATGGTTCAGAGCTCTTCGGCTAGAGAGGTACTGCTGTTGTTGATGTGGTTGCCTTCACATTCCAAAAACGGTCGCCGCTCGGTGCCTTATAATATCCGCACCGTGTGGATGGAAAAGTCGAACTACGAATCATCAATCTGATGCTGGAAAAAACACAACGGTTCAGTGGCGTCTAGAGTACCGTGAGCGATGTTTTTGTTCCTGTTATCCATGCTGATTTTGGTGCTGCTGTGCGCTTACCGTCCGTACAAGCCCGCTATCGTGGGCGATACAATCGATGACGACGGCGAATCATACCGAAGTTTAGCCTCCTGGCCCCGTGTCACTCAGCTCTCGGATACACCTACATATTAGCCAGCTGATGAGTACTGCTGGTCTAGTCGTAAATCGTCCTGGCCATGCAGGTGGTTACAACGGAGGGAAGCCGGTTTCATCGGACCTGTACTCCAAATGCGCCCTCTGCTTCTCGCGTTCAAGATTATCCCTGGCGTCACGCAGGCGCCGGAGCCTTTGCCCCACTGTGAGAAATCTGTCGTCTATTTCTGGAAGAATAGGGTTTCCTTCTTCATCTTCCTCGCCTGATCCCTGGACACAACGGGCGGCGGCAATGGCGGGGGGGGGGGGGGCCCC